TCTTTACCACCTTCTCCGCCTTCTCGGACAACATCACATTTTTCAAAAAGTCGAAACTATTTTTACCAACAAACCACTTCGCTGCCTTTATCTCGGATGAACCAGATCCAATTAGTGCAACGGTCACAACAAGTCTAGGTACAACCACTACAAAAAAACATGCAAATGCAAGAAGTCCCGAACCCAAATTATAACTTATAAGTTTAACTAATATTTATCAAACTGCCACTGGTGTCACCATATCTACCTTTGTTATTTCTACTTATCTTTCTTTATAATATTTATTATTTACTAACATTGTTTAACACTTTTTTTTTTTACATCTTTAACTGTAAAAGTGCCTTCACTGGAAGGTATCTTTAATCCGTCCTTCACGCCATAGTTATCAATTCATCAATTTCGCTTATTGTTCAAAATGTATGTAACAGATTGTGGAAATATAAATTAAGTAATAAAAAAAAAAATGTACTGGAAAGTCAAATTCAATTTTTTTGGATTCACTCAATTTTTCATGGAATAATTGTTTTATTTTGATGTAGTTAAAAAAATGCATAACCTTAGATACTTAAAATTTAAACAAAATGTTTGTTTCATCATATTTTCTTATACTTGAAAATATTTTCAAAATATTTTGATTCATTTTGATCTGTTTACTGATATTTTCGGTTTTAATTTTTTTTAGCTTTTTTTCTGTAAATGTCAATAAAAATGTATTTGTAGAGTCAAACAGCTTGAAAAGGTTTCTGATATCCAATAGTAGTTGGAAAATATTAAAAATACATAGGCACAGTTTTTTTTTGTAGAGTTCAAATTTTGTCAAAATTTAAAATTATCAGTTTTTATGGTTGTTTATGTTTGAATTTGGACGAAATCACAAATTAAATAACCAAGAATATATTCTAAGTTATTTTGTATTGTAGCACATATTTTTGTTTAAAAATATTATTCGTGGCTACTTGAAACTCCTTAAGTATATTATTATATACAAATATGATAGTATATGCAAATAACATAAATTCAATCTAATTATCTACCGAGTACCGGTACATTCTACACGGTACACGAATATCGTAGACACTAGCGGAGACCATATTACTATATTTTATATTCTAGAGTTGTTCGGTACGTATCGTAATCAATGTATCAATAAAGATAAGAAAGAGGCTCTATTCGGCGATCACATTGCCAGGCTTCAATTTTTATTTTAGTATATACGTAACCGGCGTAACGAGCGCATTCGGCCGTCTTTTTCTTCTAATGTGCACAATATTGTTACAAAATAAATTAAAGTTCTCAAGCGTAAAATCGTTTTGTGATTCAAAGTACTTGTTTTCACACTGCGTAACA